TTTCATTATGGATACCCAAGCTTTCCAGCTTGTGCTATCATTCATGGTCTGTAAAAATTTTATCATTTCAAAAATTAAAAATTTATACAGAATGTAAATTTTTTGATTACGCATTTTTTCTTTTTTTTTAAAATTACTTCTTAATTTGTTTGCTTTCTTAAGAAAAAATTCGTTCACAAAAGATTTAAGAAAAAAACAAAGTCAAATCTGTGTACGTGATTTGACCTTTTCAACAGTAGTAAGCATTTGTTCAGCAATTTCATCGCACAGATAGATACCTGACCAAGCTTGAAAGAGTACATTGCTAGAACCAACGACGAGATCAACATCCATCACTACTTCTGCCTCGTCGTTACTGCAATATAAATAGTATTTTTCAAAGTAAATTGTATGAAAATTTAATTTTAGTTTGTGGCGGTAAAATACAACTAACTTGGCGGTTTCCTCGTCAGCTAGATGAGTCACTAAAGGAAAAAGCGCAATAATTGGTGGCGAAAGAGCGGTAAAGCAAGAAAGAAAATATGCATTCAAAAATCTCATAAGTGTTTTGATGTATAATTGACCCTGAAATTTAGCTCTTGCAATCAATTAATATTATTAATAATTAACACTGTTTTTATAATTAACTTTTTCTGCTTTATTTATCTTGAAACTATCTGCTAGTAAATATTATTATTCACGTAAACAAGTTTACTTTTGTACTTACGCATCAAGTTAAACTGCAGTGGTATTTTGTGCACGGTCACAAATATTAGTATGTCTTTTTATCAGTTATTTTTTAATTTCAAAATTAATGACAAGTGTGTTTTGTTTGTATTTATTGTAATCATTTTGTGCCTTACTTGTACAAAAATACTGTCTGTTTTGAGTACAGTTTGTATTGTAGTTCTTGAAGCAGTAAGCAACGAGCTTTTTGAAGATTTGCTTGCTGTTGATCGTGACGATTGAGTTGAAGGTACTGATTTTCTTCTACTAAATATACTTTTCTTGGTTTGTTGCTTTTTTCGAAGTCTCATCAAGTCTTCAACCTAATTTAAAAAATTTTGAATAATAACTCTTTTTATTAACGAATTAGATAGAAATAATAAACTGAAAATTTGAATGTAGAAGACAATTTTTGCCCACGTTGTAATGAAAGATCATTCTGTAGAAGAAACACTGCTAAAATAACTATTTACTATAATTTTTGTTTCAAAAAACACTAATATTAATTTTATATAAGAATATTACTCAAAAAAAAAGTATGGCATACATACCTGAGAGTTAAACATCTTTATTATTTCTTCTAGTTTGGGAAGTTTAAAATTTTTTGGTATATCATTTTGATCACCATTGGCAAAACCATAAACAGCAGGATAAGTGAGCATACTAAATATGATTGGATAATTTTTATGATAAGACAAAATTAGTCTTAAAACATATCCTTAATTACTAGCAATGCTATATAGTTTCATGCAAGTTTTATTCATTTAATATGCATAATGTAATAATGCATAATTCATGTGAACATTTTTGACGTACTTGGCAATCTCATCACGTTCAGGAGCCAACCAAGCTTGAGGAATTAAGTTATTTGCTATTTGTATTGCACGATTGAGTAATTCTGTTGTGCGCCATGCAGAACATGTCGAAACGTAATAAATAATACCCATTCGTCTTTAAAGTTTTATTTCCAAATGTAAATTATAATAAAAATAAATGAAAGCTAGAATAAAAGTAGCGAAATTGGATATCACATTAATTAATAATGAATTATTATCTCTGAATTAATTAATTAATTAATTTCAATTAGAATTAGAAGTAAATGACTTACACACAACGGTGCCAAGCTGTTGGTGTTGGTTTTGATGCAATTTCAAAGATTGTTTCTACAAGCCAATGCAATTTCCGAACATCAGTCATCTTCATGCACAATTTTAATGCCATTTCCCAAGAAGTTAAGGTATCTGTTGTTAAACCTGCAAGTACTTTTTATAGTTTTTCTACACTATATTCAAAATTAAAATAATTGAAACCAGACAAGAATTATTGTTATACATACCTTCTATTTGATAAATTATTACGGGTTTTAACCACTTCCACATTGTTTGTAATTCCTTGAAAGGCCAGTTTCTTGAACCACGAATTATACCAGCACAATATGTTGCTGCAACTTTGGTTTGCGCACGTCGTTTGATATAACTATCATTCTGAAATGAAATTATCATTCATATAATCTAAAATCGTTGAATATTTGTGCTTTATCAATTTAATTATATTTCTTGATTATATTGCTAATCATTGTTTATTTAATTCAAATTATTTTTGGTATAACAAAAGAGTGAATAAATTGATAGCTTTCACTTCACGATTGCAAAGCGATTCTAATAGTGCCTTGAAATGTGGTATTACTAATGAGCCAAAGTTTCGATGCAAATACTGAAAAAGTTAAATATTTATAGTCTTGAGTAGCAAGCAGAATTTAATATTTTACAGTAATATATTTTGTATTAACCAGACGATTTTCATTTCATTTCTTAATGTAATAAAGTAAATAATTTAAACTTTTAAAAAAAGTAAAAACAAATTTAAAAAATTTGTATTTACAAATATACATAACATAATGATAGAATACTTTGACAAAACGATATTCGCTTGGATGGAATGCAGTGCTGTCTTCTTTTTCTTTCAATAAAATGGCATGCCAGAAGACAAGAAACTGCTCATCTTGAATATATTCCAGTACTGATCTCTCAATTTCATTCAACTCTGATACTGATCTTTGCAATACTGTTTGTTTATTAGCTGGAGCAGATACCATTAATTTTCTGAATTCAAATAAGTATGAAGAAGAGCGGAAAAATTCAGTATTCATAAACTGGAAACGTAATGTAGACGTAAAATTTTCAAATGATCTATATAAAAATATTTTAATTATATAGTCTAATTATAATTTGGCGGCAAGAAATAAACAATAATTTTATAGCAATTTTCTAAACTATGAACTAAACAAAACATGTATTGATAGAATTTGGCGGTAAACATATATAAATAATTTTACTTTGGCCATTGATAAGCACCCCAATGAGGTTTGGAGATGAAGATAGTTTCATTCCATGTTTTCTCATTAACTGGAAGTTTGGTTCCATCATAAAGGATTTGTAAATTATCTGATCTGACACCACATGCATACTTGAACTTTATATTAGGTACCTACAAAATAATAATAAAACTGAAGACAAAAATTTCTGCAGTAACAAGATATTAAAAAAACAACATTTAATCATTTTCAAATTATCATTATTAAAAATTGAATAAAATTGCCTTAGTAGGTGGTTTCCACGCAATTTTTTTGATCAGTGGTTTATTCCACTGCAAATATCCAGCAATGCATTCTGCTGCAATACGTCTCCATTTTGCTCGATCATCTACTAACATATGCAAAAATGCCTGTAAAAATCATCATTTTATCTCAATTTAAATGATTTCATACTAAATAAAAATACAAGTAAAATGCCCAAAATAAAACTGACTACTTGCGCAAACTTAAAATAGTGAAAGTTGTTGAATTGTAGTATAATTCAGTTATTAAACCTTTGCTAATTCAGGCGTGAGGAGAACGCGATGAAACGAATAAAGGAAGGTTCGTGCAGAATCAACTTGGCGCCAATGATAAATTTGATTTTTATTTTTGCAAATTTCTATCAGTTCATTGCGTAACCAATTAATTCGTCTACAATAGTATTAATTTTAATCTAAGCTTTTTCTGAAAAGCTTAAAAAGAAGAGATGTTTGTTGGCATTGAAACACTTGCTACCATTGTAAGTTGTATTCAGTAGATGGCAATTTTCACTGCTCATTCTTTCTTGCAGTAAGTAAATTGAATGTCTTACTGTTGATTCTTCACATATCTTTCGTTATATTTGATTTGCAGTGAAACATATGCTTGTGAATTTGAAAGTTCTTCATATCTCTTAAAGTATGGCTTTCCGATATTTCCTTCAACAAACAATTTCCGTGCTACTGCACGTATATTTTCTGAGTTCTGCAATTAAACTTGTCGCATAAGCATTAAAATAAATAAATTCCGAATCTAACGAATATATTTTCTTTACTTTACATACTTATGAAATATTAAAATTTTAACTCTCACTTAATCTTAAACATCTGTTTATTATTATTATTATTATTATTGTTATTATTATTATTGTTATTATTATAAAAGTTAGTATTATCCTATTAAGCTTATCGATCTTACTATAAACAATTTTTTTTAATAAACAAAATATTTCAAGTTAATACATTGCATAAAAACCAAAAACCGAATGCAAAAATATACAAGCACTACGATGAGCGAATATTTTTTCTTCGAAGTAATGATGCAAAAAAAGAATCTGATATCTTGCGTGAAATAAAAACGCACAACGTTATTTTTTATTGTCCACTGTCTTACAGAAACAGTACCCAAAGAGTATTGTAGTAATGATATTATTGATGGTTTCTCTGATATTTGCAGCTTGGCAATCGCTGGCCAGCATTTGCACCGGATTGTAATTGTATTTGAAATTAAAAAGCCACATTTGTTAAGGATATACAAAGCTCCCTGTAAAAGTATAAAAGTTTATCTGAAAAAAGTCAATAAAAAAAGTAATTTGCTATTTATAAGTGATTTTTATATTTTTATAAATTTTTTTTTTGTAAATTTAAGTATTATATTACTAAACGTATTTACTTTTTTTCAGTAAAAGATACTATTTTTTCAATCAATTATATTTTAAGTTATATTCCTTTAATTACTTTCATTTCTTCGTGGTTAATATTTCGATTAGGATCCAGATGTCGCAATACGTCGTCTACTAATAACCGTTTTGAATTTGGGAACTTTGCTATCAAAGTATTTAGAACTGCTTGAGAAGTAACACGAACCTAAAAACAAGCCAGTATGTATTCACAAGCACAACCAAATATCGCTTGTAAAACAACATATTAAATTAAGATTTTGCACATTGGTACACGCAGTCCTATAACTTACTACAGTAAAAATATTCGTTCCAAGTAGTATAAGGTCTTTCATGATTTTAAAATGAGACTCGGTAAATTTGGGATATTTGATATACAAATCCTGTAATCATAATAGTATAAACAAATATTAAGAATATTTGCATCGATATAAATAATAAGTACTAAAATTAATAAGATAAAGTAATTATGAAGTTAGACTTCAATCTAGAAGTAAGTTTATTTGTTTTGTTTGTTTGAATTATAAAAATTTAGCCTTTTGATATGAAAAAACTCGTCTCTCAAAAGAGTCATAAAGTTCAGCACGGCGTCCTCGAATCGGATCATGGTAATTGATACTTACGTTCTTTCTACGTGCTCGAAATTGCGGTACAGACTAAATTATGCAGTAAGCAATTTTAGAATTTATTTGTAGTAAAAGTCAGAGTATCATGCTTTCAAAAATGAATAGCCAATAATTAAAACAAAATAATGAGATGGTGTATTCAGAGCGATGCAATTACCCCTTCTGTACATAATGTTTGCAAAATTGATGAGATGAGTAGAAGAGATTTGGATTCATCTTCTGGTTGACTGAGCAGAAATACCATCAAATGATGCAGTGTAGCACGTACTTTTTCACGAATATTTTCACCATTTAAAGAAAATGCTGAATTAAGAATGAAAGCTTTTATGATAAATTTTTTTATTTACATAATTAAGTATGTATTACCGTAATAAATATGTTTTTTAGTTCGACTTCTGTTTTTTATCCTTCTAACAAATAGTAAATTAAAGTGAGTGTAATAAAAATGGATAATTACACCAACCCTTCTAAACTACTCAAGTTTAATTAAAATAGATTTTCAAGATTTATCTCAAAATTTTCACACCAAAAATATCTAACTTTTCAAATTTGGTGACATTGATGATATAAATACTGGATTTATATTTACAACAGTTTCACTCAGTTTTATTTCTTGTGTGTCAAAATCAGGTAAACGATTTCCAACACAGGATAGCAAGCTATCAATTATAAATAATGAACGTTTTATAGCAAATCTGTAAATGATTCAAGCGATTAAATGAACTCAACTAAATTATTTATTATTATTATTATTTGCACAAAAATTTGATTGTATTTTGATTATTTGTTTGAATATTTTGCAAATATTAAATGAAAATATTATTCGATTAAAAAGAATTTGTAGAGGATTGCCAAAAAATTAACTTGTCCATTTTATTTGGTGTTGCAAGCAATTTAATTTCCGGATATGCAAATTCTTTCAGTAACCGTTCAGCAAAATGCAATTCTTCATCAGTAGGAATGTGCCATTTGATACGAATAGAATCCTTGGCACAGCTAGCCCCCCATTTCTAAACTTTAGTTTGCGCTTTAAAGGTTGAATTTTTTACAACCAATGAATATTTTAATAAAATATTGCTCTATGCAAAAAAAAGTCAAGATCATCGCTCTGAATCTTTTTCAATTTCTACTGATCTTCAGAATGATCATTTAATTAACTTACTCTTATTGGTAACGAAATATTCAGTGGTAAATCTAAATCAGCTTGTTTATCATCATCTGATATAGGGTAAATTTCTATAAGTTGAGTTAATAGGTGCTTCAAAGACCAACATGCTCCCTGTACAAAAGTTAATCAAAGCACATGCAAGAAACAATTTTTGCAATGTAAAGTATAAAGTGAAGATTAGTTGCTAGTACTGATAACTGTAGAATAAGATGAAATGTAAACCTGATAAACATTAGAGCAGATCATTGATAAAGAATATCTATGCATCTGAATACACTCCTCTCTATATTTTAATAACAAATCGCTTGACACAGAAAAAATTGTCTGCGATAAATATGCATACCACATTGTTGTTGCATCAAGTTCTTTCAGTGCCCTTTTATCCTCTAAAATAATTATTATTAAAAATTACTCTTTAAAAAAAATTTTGTAATTATTTACAAGTAATACCAATAACAATTCAAAATCTGAATATATTTTTAAACACTTATTTTTGATTTTATTTTAGTCATAACAAGAGGTGAATTATATCACAGTACAATATAACGTAGAATCTTTCATCAGATTAAAATTTAATATAACTATTTAATATTTTACTATTGGAAAGCTAAATTTGCTTCTAGCATATACAGTAAAACTAATGATAGATCAAACTACCTGTCATGTACTGCTTCTGTTTTTCTAAAAGAAATTTGACATATACAGGGAAGTAACGAACTGGATCAGCCTGAAAATACAAATTATCATATTATTATAATTACAAAATTTGCTCAGTACTAATTCCTTGAATAATAATTATATGGAAAAATATTTACATAAGTGGATTCTTCAATCAACGAGCATGCAGCATCAGTAGCAACGACATTTTCAAATTGTGAAGTTGTGATAAATGTATACGTTTGATCACCAATGAGCTCAAAATAAAATATTACTTTATTTGAAAATTTTTAATATAATTAATAATTTTTTATATTAAAAATTTTTTGAACAGAAAACAAGACTGTACAAAAAAATCCTTGCAAATTGTTCTTACGTGTGTACTAAAGTATGTTCGTACTTCAAAAATGATTGTGTAAATTTAAAATTGTACAAGCAGGCAGTCAGTTGTTGTTATATACGTAAGTAATTAGAAATGAATTGAACTGAGTGAATTAGGTGAACAATCGAGTAATTATTTGTATTTAGCACTTATAATATTTAAAAATTTTAGTATACTGCGACAAAATTGGATGAGCAATTAGAGAATAGTGCGTGGAAGGCGCTTTGGATGCTTGCACTCATGACGATTTCTTCTGTCCCAGCCATGACTATTTCAGAATTATCGCATATTGAATCCACACATGGTGAGAATTCACTTGGTGCAGAGCTAGACAACTGTGTTATAACTTTGAATACTCTAAAGTGTAACTTTGTTTCATTCATAGCAGTGATGCATTAATTCATATAATAATTTGTACAATATTAAATGAACAAAAACTCAAAAACTTTTTTGTAATATTTATACTAAGATCTGTTTGCAAAAAAACTTTGAAAATCTTTTAATTGCAAAAAAGTCAACAATTTAAGATAAAGATTAGAAATATTAATACACTTGTTTGTATACCTATTTAATCTTCCATTTGAAGAATATCAAATCTTTTCTTTTAGTTATTATTTAAATTCAGTTCTAACTACAACTGAATATATAAAATAATTGAATACTGTTTAGTAATGAAATAAAGTAATCGTTAAAGTAAGCCAAATTACTTATTAACAAAGTTTTGCACTATACTCGGAAATCTTGCTGTTAATTTGCAGAGGCGCTTCTCTTCATCGTTCAAATTTGAATATTCTTTCATTTCCACAGCTTGTGAACAGTCAACAATTGGAATTAGATGAAAAATTGTTTCCAATGTCTGCAAAATTCCTTTTTCAATAAAATTAAAAGCCTTTTTAATATTTTTAATACTAAAACTTTTGTAATATTTTTGAAAAATATCAGTTACTAATAAGAAAAGAATTACTATTGCCTGTAAGTATGCTTGAAAAGCTTTTTAAGCAAAAAAACAAATTATTTTCTTACTAACTAAAAAAGTTTAGTATATTATAGGCAACAGTGACTGCCTGTCTGCGGTGAATTTTCTTCTTCATTATATAATAATAATATCTGTGTATTTAAAATGTTGCAGAAAAGTTACTAGTTCTGTTAATTATTCTATACTTGTGATATTTTTGTCTCATGTGATGAGAAATCGGAACTGTGGGGATTCAGAAGCACCAAGAAAAATCATTTTTTAATCAAAATATGCAGAATTCATACAAAAAAGCAGTTCTTAAAGATTCTATTTGGCTAACTGTTCGCCTCGGAAATAAATGTTTGTATACAAAAATAAACTGCTAAAAAAAGTACTTCGTTTACAAATATATAAATGTGTGATAAGATACAATTCAAAAATCTTACTTGTAAAGAAAGTAATAACTTATCAATGTCATTAATATCAACGGCGTCAATCAGCGCGTCTAGTAAAAAAATTGCATGCTCACGTAACGGTATGCGAAGTTGATCCCTTCGAGATTGCGTGTCTTCAATGGATGACTGCAGAAACATGTTCTTCTGTTTCTAAATATTTTAAAATTTATTCTATATTAAATTGAAGAGACAGCAAAACTTTGACAGATTTCGTCTTTTTTAATAAAACAATAAAAGTTAAATTTTAGTAAAACAGTTAATTACAACAACTAAATTTACATTCTTTTCTACAGAGTTACAGTTTCAAAAACTGTACAAATGACT